CAGGATTGTGTAGAGGAGAGTTTAGGATGGCAGGACGGTTCAGGATTTCAGGATTGTGTAGAGGAGAGTTTAGGATGGCAGGACGGTTCAAAATATTAGAATTGTGTTCAGGGATAACAGGACAAGCAGGATTCATAGGAGGTGGGAACCAGCGAGTGGAGTCTAAGTTTGCAGCCCGAAACTGACGTCCATCGACATGGCATTCAGGAGTACACCTGTGACGTGCGGCCAGATACTGGAAGGCGTGAGTACCAACCTTGCCGGCGTAGGTCGAAGCGGGAGGAGGGGGAAAACGGTGGTGAGCAGCGAAGTGCTGGCGAGATTGGAAGGCGGGAGGGTCCTCTGCCAAGGTGGCAATGAGAAGAGCGAAGGCTTCCGGATGGAAAGGGAAGGACATCTTATTTAGTAGGGACGACGATAAGCCCAAGGTGATGATGATTCCCAGTAGGGGGAGGAAAGACAGAAAGCAGAGGGGCACCGCGCGGGAATTGCTGCAGCTGTGGTGCTCGCTGAAAGAAGATGCGTGACGTGTAAAAAAAGCAATACGATTGATAATATTAGCACGTGCGTTTGATTCCGCCCCCCCCCCCCTCTTTTTCTGGCGGCGAGAAAACAGCTGATAAGACCCTAACTGCGTTACGGGAATCACACTCCGCATTCTTCACCGTTCTCAATACTCTGCTCTCGTCGACCTCCCCCAAACTTCGCCATGGAAGAATCTACCACGGACCAGCCGGTCACTATCTCCCCCCTTGCGTCTTCCCCGCCAACCCACCCGACTTGAAGAAGCGGGACGTGGTGAGGGCCTTCTCACACATCGATAACTTCTGGCGGCGGCTCGACCTCAGCCTGTGTAAGCGCCCACAGTGTTATGCGGTAGTCTCAGCTCACCTCCTCCCCGGTAGACCTATGGTTGCTCGCTATCTTCGGTGGCAATTTGGGCCTACTGTTGGCCTGGATCTTCTCTTCAAGGGATGGACATTTCAGAATAGCCCTCAAATGGTGAGTGTATTAGTGTGCATTAGCGATTCACCTTCTCACACCAGTCTCAGGTGTGCCATCTCCTCCACTTTGTTGGCGACAGCGTTCTTCTACGGTTCCAAGCCCCGGATATTTCAAGCTCTTGCGCCTTTCCAGGTCGTAAGATCCTGGAACTCCCATTTCCTTGAGATATCAGGAACTCCTATGACTCCAGTCGGAGGAGGCACCGGCCAGATTCCCAACCGAGACGAAGGGAGTCTGAGCGTGTATGGGATGGGGAAGTTCGACTTCCACTCTAGAGAGTTCATGAGCAAGGTCCCGTACATTCTTCTCAACCTGCAGAGGGTAGTGAGTGGAACGGTGGGTTTGGTGAGTCATGCAAAACAGTGTGTCGTCGTTGACTAACGCGCAAGATCTCCCAGCATGTATTCTTTGTAATTTTAAAAAATGTGGCCGATTTCTTCAAGTTTTGATCGAGTTTGGAGATGTATATTGCTGCTGTGAAACAAAAAATGTATGGTGTCTGCTGCATCATTAGAGTCCGGGGCTCATTGGCTTATTTGTAAAGAACAAAAAATGCCTTCTGTGTCCCTCGGTGTCTTTGACGCGACAGAGTTCCAAGCATCACCCAACTGTGGCTTCATGAGGCGACAGTGGTAAGCCGCTTACACATGATGGGAGTTGGAGTAAAAGCACCCGTCCGAGGGAAGAGATCCGCGAAGAAGAGCTGAACGGCGATTGGGAGTTTTAAACACGGTCAAAGGCTCGGGGGTGGAACCAAACAATGGGATCGGGATCAAACGAGTGATTGCGCCCCACTTTGATACAGCGTGCATTTGTATCTCCATATCTCATCCTCCTTTATACAATCTATCATCCAACTCTCATACTCCGCCTCCCTATATACTCTCTATATCTCTCCCTTTGCCCTCAGCCCCCCCTCGGCTTTCCCTCGCCCCTCCCTCCTGGCGTCCCCTCCCCCCTCGGCCCCTCCTTCTCCAATTCATCCCTTCTCGGCCCCTCCTCCCCGGCCTCAAAGAGGCGCCCCCGCCGCACGGTACGTGTCAGCTTGTTCCTTGTTCTGTAGATTGTGGGGTTGTGGGGGTCGGTACTGGCTATATCCCTCTGGCACGCAGATCGCTAGGGGGCAGGCTTCTTGTCCGTCGTATTCTGACTGTTGTTGGAGCGGTGATCTCTCCATTCTTGGCAAGACTTGTTTGGCGCGCGCACGCTTTGTGACGTTGCTGGACCTATTGTGAGGATGTGAGGATGACCAGATTCAAAGACTTCTTCGTGGTCACGTCCTGTACTCTTATGTTGTGCTCTGTCTGGCTTTACTCGCGCAGGATGCACGGCTGACGCAAGACAACAGATCCCTTGCCCCAACCTCCCCCCCGACGCCGGCCCCACCCAAGTGCCGCCTGAGGTCCAGGCCCAGCTGGACTGGATGGAAGCCCTGCTCACCTCCCAAGCGGAGGCTTCCACTGTCCTACCCTCCTTCGCTCTGTGGTGTTGTCTTTTGTGCTGTGAGAGGCTGGCAAACGTCAACCTAGGTCATTGATGTGTAAGCTCTTTGTCCTATCTGTGTCGTCACCTCAGCAGGCTAACCACCTTTCACGCTTCCCTCATTTATCATTCAACATCATCGTATCACCTGTTCTGCTGTCCCGCATCTCCTTGCTCTGGCAATTTGCTCCGTCGTATCGTCATCCTGCACTTCATCCCACCAACAAACTCAGATCATCCCCGACTTTACGGATACCACTCCCGTCTATCCCCGTCATCCTGCCCGAAGATCCAGCCTGCCCGCCGCCAACAAGACCCGCTTCCAAGTCCCCGTGGAAGCTGCATTCAACTGCAGCTCATCGGAGAAGCTGTCCCTCGGTGTCGTGGTCAGAATCGCGGAGACGGAGAAGGCGAAGGAGCTGGAGAAGGGGGATTGGATACGGTTGGAGGAGAAGAAGGGCTTGACGAAGATTGCCGGGGCGGAGAAGGGTACTTTAGTTGGTAGACGAGTAGGCGGTATGCAGTTGTACATATTGGAGCCACGTACGCGAGCAGTGGGGTACCGGAACAACGAGCGTTTTCATTCATTTCGGGCTTTGCAACGCTCATCAAGGCCCGCCTTTGTTGACTGTACCGATGAAAGAGGAGATACGCGCATGCCTTTTTGTTCTTGCGGCTCATGCGTCTGCGCACATCATCTCTGCCCTTTCTCGTTGCTCTCAGCTTCTAGCCGGTGCTATCAAGCCTCCCTCTCGCAAGTTCGAATCAAGACCTTCGTACGTGCCGTGAACCGAACATAGATCGTTGAGGCTTATTGGAACGTGGATTACATATCCATCTCGTAATCATCACCATACAACAATACAGCCCCATCCCCCTTCTCCTCTAACAATCCCCTAATGCAAATGTCACCGCCCCCCTCCCTCCTTCCTAACCATCTCCACCGCCCTCCTAAACGCCGCCTCCTCAATCCCCTTCCTCTCCCTCTCCACCATCCCCCTCACCTCCACCTCCGCCTCTTCCATCGCCTCCGCCCTGCCCTGCTCATACCCCCTCTGGAACGCCGCCCTCACCGCGCCCCCACCATCCGCCCCCGTCCCGAGGGTTTGCGTGAGCGCTTGAGAGGAAGAGGTGGAAGGGGCGGGGCGGAAGAGGGAGGAGCTGTGCTTCGGGGAGGAAGGGGATGGGGCTTTGCGTTTATCGCCTGTTCTCGGTGAGGTGGGGTAGGCGTTGGCGTTTTGGAGCATACGCTGTCCCTCCAGGCCTACTTGAGATGACGACCCCTGGATGGGCCCACTGAATGGATCTCGTCCTTGCGTATGCGTATGAGAAGGAGGGTGGAAACCGTTGGTACCCCCGCCGCCGGGCGCGGGCGGGAGAAAGCTCGCTCGGCGTTTGGCTTTGCCCTTTTTCGGTTGAAGCACGTTGACGTGGGTTGATGTCGTCGTCGTCGGTCCGAAGGACGTCGATACAGAAGGCGCCGAGCTCGTCGGGCCCAGCGCACCAGCACCAGCAGCAGCGGCTTTCCCCCGCTTCCCCATCCTCCCCTCATACCCATACTCCCCAAGCACAATGTCCGTATCCCCCTCCTCCGCCAGATCCAAAAACTCATCCTTCTCAAAACTGATCGCACAGATACTCCCATCCACAGCCGACCCATACAAATGATGTCCGTCATTCGACCAACACAGGTCCATGAGGTCGGCGCCGAAAATGTCTTTGAGCACGACGAGCGGTTTGTGCAGGGTGTTGCGCCAGATGGAGATGGAAAAGTCGTTGGCGCCGAGGGCGAGGACGGTGGATGCTGTGGCTCGGCCTTTGGGCTCGCCTTGTGGGAAAAACAGGCGTGGGTTGAATGCCTTACCACACGGGTCAGCTTTGATACCATGGTCAGAAAACATTTAGGGGAGTACGCACAGCGACCTGGATCGTATTCTCATGCCCCACAAAACTAATTTCCGACCCCCACCCATCCCTATCAATAACCGCCCCCACAAACACCGGCCCATTCTTCGCATTCGACGCCGCTATAAACGCGCCATCCGGGGACCACGACAGCCGTCTGAAAAATGTGCTCTGGGGCGACGTCTTGAATGGTTCGGATACAGATTCGACGAGGGACCAGTCTTCAGTGTTCCAGATTTTGACAGTCTTGTCGTCGGATTGGGTGGCGAGGTAGGCGCCGACGGGGTCCCAGCAGACGCCTTTGACGAATCCTTGGTGGAGGTCGAGTTTGCGGAGACGCTCTGGGTTATAAAGTCAGCCGAGGCCCTTGTGGGTAAGGGAGAGGATGTTTACCGAATGTTGAACCGTCCCATAGCCAGACTGTGCTATCCAGACCGACGGATGCCAGCATAGAGTCGTCTCTTGACCACGCCAAGTCGACTACATCTGCATAGCTGTAAGCTAATCGTCCTGGAGATGTTTGAGGGGTACGCACCAGCGACATGCCCGACCAGTCTTGTTAACGCTTTCCAATTCTCCACATTCACCTCATCCGACCCCCACAATCTCCCTCCTCCATCTCTACCCTTTTAATCAGCCAGGACTGATAAGAGAGAGGATATAGACTCACGGGTCAATACCCCATATCATGATAACCTGATCATCCGACCCCGTCGCCAGAAACCGTCCATGATGCGCCCACCTAACCGACAACACCGAACCTTTCCACCTATCAGCTTTATCCACCACACATATGCTGGGAAGGGAAGTTCACCAGTATGGGCGGCCATGGTACACAGCAGCTTTGGGTTTTGCTCCTCGTTCTCGGCTTCTTGATCCAGGATGGGTAATGTCGACCAGATTTTGACTTTGTGATCTACCTCCCTATCAGCACCACCCTCTCAGTCGATCCGGACTACACACCTAAGCCTCCCGTTGCCAGCCGCGTGCCGTCGGGATGGACGGATATACTATATATAGGGCATTTCGCCTTCTTCTCCCCAACTGTCGTTGTTCCTCTTGTCAGCTCTTGGCAACATTAGGACAGGGGGGGGGGACGCACCAGTATGTTGTACCCAGTTTGGTTTTGTGACGCGCATGGGGGATTGGATTATAGGGGGATGAGATGGGTCTGTAGATGATAGAGATGAGTTGCGAGACACGAGACGCGAAGAGAGTGGAATCGGGTAATTTGGCCGGTAACTATAAAGAGAGGATGTTAATAACAAGTAGTTACGCGGTGTGTACCCAGAATCTGATCCCGCGCGTATCGTCAAAACAAACAACAAATCCATCTCCTCTTCCATCGCGCTCACCCAAAAATGCCCCCTACAAGAACACCCCAACGGCCCCCTCTCGACATCATCCCACCCCCCTCCCTCCCCCCCTCCATCACCCCCTCCTACACCCCCACCCCTTCCTCCCAGACCCACACCGAAAGCCGGCCCCTCTCCGAAGAAGAGCGCGGCAGACTCATCCACGAGCTCGTCGGCTTCCACCCCAGGAGTTTGTGTAATGATATCACCGAGGTGGCGAGGACGGAGCTGTATAATGCTATGAATAGTATTGAGAATTGGGCAGAGACGGTGGCGAGGGGGAAGGAGTTGAGTGCGGAGGCTGGGAATGTGCGTGATTCTTGTTTTCTTTCATGAGAGGGATGATTGCTGATGTGTGGTGCAGGGTATGCATGCGCTGGAGACTCTGCTAGAGACGCATTTTGACAGAGCGTTTGACAAGTACGAAACGTGGCTCTTGCGAAACGCTTTCGAATTCGAAAAAGGTCTCGACGTCGTCCTCGTCAGTGCCCCCTCTCCCAAGTATACCGTGCAACACTGACTATCATCGTAGCCATGGCATAACGGCCTCGATTTTACCCGCGGCGAGCACGTATCCCTCCTCCCAGGCGGCACCGAAGCCCTCGACGCCCAACTGGAATCCCTCCGCGTCCAAGTGGAACAGACGAGACAACTATCGATGCAGCTCGAGTTGGCAAACAAGAAGCTCGATAAAAGGCTCGATACGCTCCGTCAACGCGAGGCGCATGTTGGTTTTGTTAAAGAGGTTATTGAGACTTCTGGCCGTACGTCTTCTCTCCCTCTCCCCTTCCATCTTCCCGGTGCTTTGTCTTTGAAAGCTGGCTGACGAAACTTGTAGTCAACCCCTTACCACAAAACACATCCCACCTCACCCAAACAATCTCTTCCCTAAACACATCCCTCCTCCCTCTCGAATCCATCCCCATCCCCACTTCCACCTCCTTCACCCGCCTTCCCGACCCCTCCCACGGCCCCGGGTCAGCGTCGGGAGAACATACGAAAGCGTGGGAACTCGGGCGGGCGGCGTATCTCAATTGGGCCATGGGCAAGGTCGTCCCTTCTGCCTCTTCCCCATCTTCTTCTTCTGCTGCTGCTGCTTCTGCTCCTGGTTCTGGCGAGGGGCAGCCGGCGGCGGCCAGTACAGGAGAAGGAGGAGCAGGAGCAGGAGGCGGAGGAGACAAGTTGGAAGCGATCGAACAAGGGATCGAACAAGTCGGCGGTAAGGAGGGGATGGAGGTGCTTGCTGAGAGTGTCAAGGAATAGCGTCATGACCGTCTTTCCAAAATCGACTTGATTCTTGCTTGAGATGGGGGTGGGGAGGTCAAGTATAAGGGCAAAGGGGGTTTTGTTGTATTTGTATGTCTTTTATGATTGTTGGGTTTTCCATGTACCGTTTGGGGAAATTTTATCCGTTCTTTGAGTGTTCGAGTAGTGCGAGGGGTTCGTAGAACTCTGGCTGGTTAGTACTCATCTCGATGGGCGAGCGAGCCCCTGCTTGCGGGTGCTCCTGACGCTCGCCAATGTCACCGCCCTCATCCTACTGCATCAATACGACAACGTCAGCATGACTACCAACGCCTTTCTCTTGTCCACTACCGACGCTGCCCTATAACACATGCTAAACACACTGCATACGAATACAGCATTGATCAAATCACAGAGAGCGCAAAAGACAGTTTCATCAGCACGTTGATTGAACCAAACAAACACAGAGATCGGCGCCCTCCCCCACCCGATACAGCCTTGATACAGCGTGCAATTTGTATCTCCATTTCTCATCCTCCTTTATACAAACTACCACCCAACTCTCACATCCCGCATACTCCCCATACTTCCCATATCTCTCCCTTCTCCCCTTCTCCCCCCCTCGGCTCTCCCTCGCCCCTCCCCCCCGGCGTCCCCTCCCACCTCGGCCCCTCCTCCCTGGCCCCTCCTCCCTGGCCCCTCCTCCCTGGCCCTTCCTCCCCGGCCCCTGGCTGCTAGGCCTGAAAGAGGCAATCATCAGTGCTCACTGAGGTACGTTCTTTGCTTTTCATTGTACCGTGGCCTGTGTGGGTGGGATTTCCAGCCATACCCATCTCCGTCTGATCACACCGGCTGCGCGGTGATCTCTTCTCTCTTGACGGGAACTTGGTCGGAGCGCCACGCTTTGTTCCGTTGCCTTGTCCAGTGAGGATGACGAGATGCAAAAGACATACTCGTACTTGGGGTCGTGTCTTGCACCTACATTGCATCCGCTGCTGTTCTTTCCGTCTCACTTGACATGAGCAGAATGCATAGCTGATTCGAGGAAACAGGGTTGCGCGACCTGGTGTTGCTGGTGCTTCTGGTCGACTGGTGGGTTGGGATGAGTGAGCACAAGAAGTGAGTCCATGGTGAGAGGGACTTTGCGCTGTGGGAGTGACTTCTTACTCAAGGTGGCTGACACTTTTCTCAGTTATCGGCCCATATTCCTGCAATTTCTCTTCTATGTCCTCCCGCGGTGGAAATGGTGCACGGCACCATATGGTACACGGGTGTTCGCCGTTGCCTCCGCCGACGCTGCCCACGCCGACGCTGCTCCTCCTCCCACCGCCCACCGAGCCCAGTCCCTCGCCCCTCCGGCCATCATCCCTCCCGCTCCCACCCGGCCGGTTGCTTCAAGGTCGCATACCGACCCTGCTGACGAATGGCTATTTGTTGGGACAAGTGAGTCATCATCAGTGCTTGGATAGAATAAAGATGACCTCCTTCTGCCAGCTGTGCTGCATGTAGCGACAATGATACTCAACGTTGTCAATGCCCTCGCCCTCCGCAGGTACGTCCCTCCAGGCTTATTTTACGGGCTGCTGCTGATAGAACGTGATTTAACCACTCTCCTATCTGGATACAGATCCCGTTAGGGTTGACCTTATTGGCATCCCTCCCGGCTGCATACTGTGCGCTGATTGATAGAGACATCAAGTTTTCGAAGACTTTACTGCGAGCGAGGTTCGGGATGATAACGCCGAGATCGTTGGCAGTGATCATACTTGACTGGGCGAGTACTTTTCTATCGGAAGCTGCAGTATCACGGCTGATACTGTATATCAGTGTCTTTCAAAGAAGCTCTCCTCCACAGCCAACGATCCTCCCCAATCCCATAGCCTACAAACCATAGTCTATATCGGCCTCCAACAGTACTATGATTTCATCTGGTGTGAGTGCATTCCAGTGGAAGTCATTGGCGTCAGTCTGAGGAGTGCATTTCAGTGTACACCTAATTGATTGTCCATATTATCACCATTGTCGTTCTGGCCAAGATGGAGTATGTACTACGAAGGCGTGTGCTGCAGCGCGGCTCGGGACATCTTGAGGACCGGGTCCAATGGCCGATCAATACCAGAGGGTATTATCTTTGGATGGCGAAATATGGTGTAACACAGCCTTACGACGTTATGGTGCGTATAATGCTATCCTTTCCCCACAATGACCTCTGACAATGCTAGTAGTCCCTCGCGTACTTTTCCTCCAAGAACAGGGACATCAAGACCGAAGGCGGCTCCGACTACGCCAACCAGTGGACCGAAAAGGTCGCTGAATGGATCCGAGAGTACAACCGGCTCTGCCGTCCTTGGATGAACCACCCATCCTTCCGCTCGTCTGACCCTTCCTTACTCTGTCGCCGCTGGGTTTAACCCACAGGACTACCCCCTCGACTGCGACAACCTGTGGTCAACACGGACCAACATTCTCCCACCCTTGCCGCCCGTGAGCCCACCTCATCCATCTTGATGGCCGCTTGCGTATCGTACGAGAACATTGTCAGCTGGGCAGACCATGTCCACAATGATGTGAACCAAGACCACAGCCACTTTGCCCGAGAGCTGATGCGTGCCGACAGCCCTTCCACCTGCCCCCCGTCCAAGCTCCAAACCTCGGCAGATGCCGCATGCCTCATCATCAACGTCGCGGTATACTGTTTTCTGATGCCCTCTCCCCCTGGACGGGCGCCCCAGGGGGGTGGGCAGCAACCCCTGGTAGTGGTTATGACCACGCTGCAAAGGCTCAAGATAGCTTCCGGGGTTATCGTCGTTCTCTTTGGTTTCGCCGGAATAGTCCTACAGATATCGCGCGCGGCGTCGGTGGATAGACACGAAGCATGTCTGAGCGCGATACTGTGCCCAGACTCTTACGACAAGTCACCGTAAGTTGCCTCAAAATGATTAAGGTCGCATTTTGACAACATTTTGACGGGTTGCTGGTAGCTGTACGGGGGTTCAGGGCCAGTTGTGCGTATGTCAAACTCGCTCCGAGAGACAAGATAGCTAATGTCAAGTCCAGCTGCAGGAATCCCTCTGTCAATCCTGCTCAAGCGCTCATCAAGGACAATATCTGTGGTGATCAGGCCTGCTCTGGGGGGACAGCTGAAAGTATCACCAAGTGTTGTTGAGGGTTGAGTCCAAGTACGTGAAGAGGAAGACACAAGTGTGCTTGGATACAGTCTTGGAAGAGGTAGTAGAGGTAAAGGAAGAAGAGGAGGGGAGAGAAGAGAGTCAAAGAATGTGTGGTTGAGGTCTCTGTCTCCACACCCAGCCTTTCTTATATACATGAATAAGTGACGTGACGATAGACGGGACGACTACGAGGAACGTCTACGACACGAAGCGAATAAGGGTACGGGTCGATCAGCGAAGCGTACAGAAAGGCTAAAGACAATAAGAAAGGAGAGACGGGTGGAAGAAAGTCAGGGTGACGAATATGGGCGTGTCGACCTACGTCGGACAGCCTTACTAGAAGGAAGGAAGAGGACGAGAACGAATAACGAGAGCGAAGACGGAGACGAAGACGGACACGAGCAATGGTAAAATAGTCCATGGGGCGTGCAGGCGCCTAGCACGCTACAATATCCGCCCAGAGACAATTCATGGGGAGTACCGATTTGACTTCGATGCCGATGTGGGTAAGTAATTGGCTGCTTCAAGGTCACATACCCTGCTGACGAATGTTTGCAGAACCTCAGCCAAACAGCACAGCAACTTTGTGGTTGTTGGCGGTTGCAATCGGACTATTGCGCTTAGACATGCTTCGTGTCTATGCACCGGCCCCATGCGTGATATCTGTAGGACTATTGCGGCGAAACCAAAGACAACGAAGATAACTTTGGAAGCTATCTTGAGCTTTTGCAGCCTGGTCATTACCATTACCAGGGGTTGCTGCCCACACTGCTGGGGCGACCGTGTAGGGGGAGAGGGCATCAAAAGGCAGTATACGTTAACATTGACGATCAGGCGTGTGCCATCTGCCGAGGTTTGGAGCTTGGACACGGGGCAGGTGGAAGGGCTATCGGCACGCATCAGCTCTTGAGCACTGCAGCACACGCCGCCGTGGTACATACTCCATCTTGGCCAGAACGACAATGGTGATGATATGGGCAAATACGTCGGTCCAAACTGGAATGCACTCATCAGACTGACACCAACGATTTCCACTGGAATGCACTCACAGAAGATAAAATCATAGTATTGCTGAAGGACGATGTAGATTAAGGCTCGGAAGCTTTCTGACCGGGAGGGATCGCTGGTTGTGGAGGGGGGCATGTCTGTTGTCTGGTGTGTATGTATAGTCAGGTATGATGAGAGGATAAAAAGTCAAGATATCTGTATTATACCAGGGCGAGAGCGGGCGGGCGTGAGATCGTACTGCCCGCCCCCTCCTCCGGTCAACTTCAGCTTCAGGATCGACAAATCGGGCTCGTCAGCTCATTTCAATTACCAAGATACCTCATTAAACAGCTCGGCTCTCCAAGTGCTGGTCGAAGGTCCTCATCTGCTTGAGAGCAAAAAAGGGAGCTGCAAGGGGATTGTGGAATGATTGTCATTTGACACAGGCTCATTCACGTCGTTGATGCGCGTTCCCTCTCTTACATGCTCACCTGCTCCCAACCCCAAGCTCTCCTTACTAGCCACTCAATAGAAATTCATTCACTATCTGGAGCTGTAAACTTTCGTTACATGCATAGCAGCCTCACCGGCGTCACAACCACCACCACCACGCGACGCTCCAGCTCTGGACGGCGGCCAGATTACGAAAAGAAGAAAGAAGTAAAGCCAGACGCGCCCCGGCCGCCGGCCTGCTCGTCATCAATCGGGTTCTTCATCGTTCGAGTTCCTTCTGACCTCATCACCCCTTTGCACCATTGGATCGGACGCCAATACTCTATCTCGGAGAATCCCGTCCTCTTCACAAGCATATGACTCAGTAGCCAAGAGAGAACGAAACGACCAGACTTCACCCTTGAAATCACTGAACAACAAGCTCTCTTCCACAGAAGCTTGACTCTTCATCGTGTCTCCCCAGTGCCCTGTAACTGAAGGCTCAACCAGCGTACTTCTTTCAGCTTTGAATTTGTTTTTTTTTGCCGCCCACGAGCCTCAACATCCCTTCTTTCCCGATTCCCGTCCCCCACTTCCGCTACTCTTGCGCCATCCTTGTTCAATTCTCTACTTAAGAGGACACAGCAGCTAATTTGCAGCCTGCCAATGCATCGACTGACGAATGACTGGATAGGCATGTCTCCGCATCACCTGATTTCAAATACCGAAGAGACGTACGCCAGCACTCGTATCCGCGTTCGTTCTTTCCGCTTGCTTTTACGTACCCTGTACACAATTCTGCGTCTCTGTTGTGGTATCCCGGCGTGAACTTGTAGTGGTAGAAATAGGCGAAGAAGGGAATTAGGCGCGCGAGAGTTTTCCACATAGATTTCCATGTTCTCGTGTACACAGTCCTTCTTCTTCATATGCAAACTAGATAGCCTAACCTTCCAACAGGTTATGAGCCTCAACTTCCACTAGACTGAGAACAGACC